AGGTGCAGAGGTCCTGACAGAGCAGCCTGACTGCCCGGGGGGCTCAAGGAGAGTGAACAAGAGGGAAGGAAAAAGGAGAGGAGGTCAAAAAGATCATGGTAGATTGTTCAGGAGGGAAGTAAGAACCGGTGCAGAGACCAACAAATTAGGAGGCATTTGTAGATAATAAATGATGGTAGGCACCAGAGTTGTGGCAGTGAGATGGGTTGAGATCTCTAAATATGTGAATATCTTTGATGGAAAAATAGAATTTGCCAATCGATCAGAGAACAGGTGTAGAGTCAAGGAGCGCCCCAACATTTCTGTCTTAAGCGACTAGAAGAAAGGAATTGTTCATGAGATGGGGAAATCTGCAGGAGGAGGAAATGTGAAGCTCAGTTTTAGCCATGTTAATTTTGAGACTCCTGTTAGCCCTCCAGTTATTGGATTCCAGTTAAATAAGGAAAGAAGCCTATGCTAGACATATATTAATAAATGCAGATGTCATCAGCATACCAATGACTTAGTCTGAAACTTTAACTGTGGGTCCTCTTCTGAGCCTTATCAGTGTCATGCGGGGTGCACTGGTGTGTCATTCCACAGGCACACATCAGTCAAAAAGAGACAAATGTAACAGAAACCCAATTTGTTCAATTAATATTTCTAAGAAAGTATTATATGCAGTTGTTTCCAAGGCAATCAACTCTCAATGAATCATACATTCATACAAATATTTATTGAGCACCTATTAGGAACCAGGCACTGCCAGACACTCATAATACCACAGCGAACAGACATGGCAGCCTCTACATGCAGATGAATTTGTGTAATGACAGAGACCACATGAAAACAATAATATCACATATATAATTAATTAACAGTAACTGTGGCAGTCCTATACAAGAGACGTTACAGAGTGTAGACTGTGAATGCTTTTTCTTCCTAGTAGAGTATATTCCCAACTCACTTCCTCTCCAGCAGTGTAGTCTCTTGGGGACTGAGCACATCACCAAATTGGCACATGTGCTCCCAAGGAAATAAAATGTTTATGAAAGGGAAAGTCTTTGAGACCATCTTAATCTTTAAGAATCCCAAATGAAAGTACTATGCCCATCTCCTTTAATTACCTATACAATGAACTGTGCTCTTTCCGCTTTTCTGGGACCAGGTGTCATGGAAGATATAGTGTGGTCTGCATGTGGCTGAAACAGGAAACAGAAAACTACACCTGAATTCTACTCTATGATAACAACTAGCACACAAGTTCAGGATGAAAATAAGAATATAAGTAGCTCTTACTTACAGTCACAGCTAACTACACCAGTATACCCAACAAGACTGAAATTTTAGAGCTATCAAATCTGCATAATTTTAGAAAGGAGGCAACCCAATATAATCTTCATTTGATAGAATAGAAAAGTCAAGCTCAGGAACATGATGCCACTTGCTCAAAGTTAAACAGCTCGTGAGCAGCAAAGCCGAGGCCAGAGCACAGAGCCAGCCCTCTGGTAGGCTGAGGCGGGCAGATCACTCAAGGTCAGAAGTTCGAAACCAGCGTGAGCAAGAGCGAGACCACCATCTCTACTAAAAATAGAAAAATTAACTGGCCAATTAAAAATACATAGAAAAAATTAGCCAGGCATGGTAGCACATGCCTATAGTCCCAGCTACTCGGGAGGCTGAGGCAGGAGATGCTTGAGCCCAGGAGTTTGAGGTTGCTGTGAGCTAGGCTGACGCCACGGCACTCTAGCCCAGGCAACAGAGTGAGACCCTGTCTCAAAAAAAAAAAAAAAAGAGAGAGAGAGACAATTACTAGATCATGGGAAGAAGCTCTGAAAGCAAAGAACGAAGAGCTTCGAGAGAGCATTAGGGATGGCGGGGTAGAAAACATGCTATGAAAAGCTTTTTAATTAGAAGAAGAAAATGTTAATTAGCAATCAAATGGAAGAGTTAATACAAGATGCCCACTATAGGTAACTATCAGAAAGAAAATTATCCAGCAAATGGAAAATCAAATATTTAAGCATTAGATCTCTTTCCTTAATACTACTGTGAGGTTCAGGAGTAAAATATAATGACTTGTTTTTTTCTGAGCATGGTTTAAGTTATGGAAAGTAAGAAATTCCCCATGGTGTCTACTAAAGTTTTTAAAAGCAGGTGTTTTCTGCAAGGCTAAGCTACCTAGAAATTCTTGGTAAGGAACGAAAGCTTCTCCAACATTATCAAATGAATTAATTTATGAAGCATCTCTAGTATTAAAAATTACAAATGGCTGAAGACATTCAATAGTACATTCAACTTTTAGAAATAAAAATAAACCCATAAACATACAAAGTGTAAGTCTAAGTAACTAAACTACAAAAAAAATCCAATTAACTTGATCACGACTTGATTACAAGTGGTATAATATATAATATTTTAAATATGTCTCAGAAAAGAATTATTTTAATTTCCCCTATAACTCTTTTTTTTACATTTCAGAATATTACAGGGGTACAAATCCTTTGGTTACATAAATTGCCTTTGTACCACCTAAGTCAGAGCTACAGGCATGCCCAACCCCCAGACAGTGCACACGGCAGCCCTTAGGTGTGAATTTACCCATCCCCTCGTCCCCCCTCCCACCTGCTCAGCACCTGATGAATGTTTATTCCCATATGTGCACATAAGTATTGATCAATTAGCATGAATTTAATGGTGAGTATATGTAGTGTTTGTTTTTCCATTCCTGTGATACTTCACTTAGAATAATGGGCTCCAGTTCCATCCATGTAAATATAAGAGGCGGTAGATCACCATTTTTTATAGCTGAGTAATATTCCATGGTATACATATACCACATTTTATTAATCTACTAATGGATTGATGGGCACTTGGGTTGTTTCCACATCTTTGCAATTGTGAATTGTGCTCCTATAAACATTCTAGTGCAGATTGTCTGTTATAGAATGTCTTTTTTTTCCTTTGGGTAAATACCAGTAATGGGATTGCTGGATCAAACAGTAGTTCTACTTTTAGTTCTTTGAGGTATCTCCGTACTACTTTCCATAGAAGTTGTACTAGTTTGAAGTCTTACCAGCAGTGTATGAGTGTTCCTATCTCTCCACATCCATGCCAATATTTGTTGTTTGGGGACTTTTTGATAAAAGCCATTCTCACTGGTGTTAAGTGATTTCTCATTGTGATTTTGATTTGCATTTCCCTGATGATTAGAGATGTTCAGCATTTTTTCATAGGTTTCTTAGCCATTAGTCTATCTTCTTTTGAAAAGTTTCTGTTCATCTCCTATAACTCTTAAAAGAACCTTTATACAGAAACGGAAAAGCTATTGGGTTATTGCTTCTTTGTAACTCATTTGCTCTTACTGATCACAGATGATTAAAAAAATAATTTCTTTCTGACTCTAGACTGACCTCTCTATAAGTAAAACAGCAAACATAAATCCCGTTTCCATCTATAGCCACAGAAGAAGACTTTTCACCTGTCTTTGCTTTATCTTTCTTAAACTCAAAGCTCCAGTAAAGATTTGGTTTTCCTTATTCCTCAGATTGTAAGACATTATATTAAACTCATTTCAAACTTTTCAACAAGATACAGAGATCTAAGTAAGACCTTCTCTTGCTCACGGCTATATTCCTAGTACCTAAAACAGTGCCTGTTGTATACTACTCACTCAAAAAACACTAGTGAATTGAATTGATTTGAACTTATAGACTATAAATGGTATATCTTAACATTATTTTTTTTATGAAGGTGAAATTGATATCACCCCATAATGATGACAGTGAAAGATCAACAACCACAATATATCAAAGTCTTTATATCAGATAATTGTTATTGTCACAGAAGAAGATTTAGTCTGGAGTATAATACTGAATCTATATGTAAAGAAAAGAAAGCCTTTGTTATCATGAGATTAATGAAACATTAGATCTTTGTGTAGTGCTTAACAATTTACAAAGCATTTCCATATATACATACACATATATGTATATAAATATCCACATTACATATACATTGTATATGTTTACATATGTTATATAGCATATATATTATATGTAGTAGGCATTACTGTCCACTCTTTATTGATAATGACACCAAAGTCTAAGAAACTGAGTGTCATGTAGCTAAGAGGCAACAGAGTCTGAAAGTACAGCTAGGTTTCTAAACTCCAAATTCAGGTGAACCTTCTGCTCGCTTTTAGCTGGTTATCTAAAAGATTACAGGTTTCTACTTGAAATACAGTAGTCTCCCTGATCTATTGGGAATATATTCCAAGATTCCCAGTGGAAGCCTGAAAGCATAAATGGTACCAATCCTATATATACTATGTTTTTTCCCATACATACATATCTTTGATAAGTTCAATTTACAAATTAGGCACAGTATGAGATTAACAACAATAACTAATAAGTAAAACAATAATTATAACATATACCATAATGGGTTTTATGTGAATGTGGTCAGTCTCTCTCTCTCTCTCTCTCAAAATATCTCACTATATCAGTTACTCAATAGTAACTATTCAGTTACTATTGAGTAACTGAAACCATGGGAATTAAAACCAAAGATAGAGGAGGACTATCATAATAGCTCTTCCATGGTAACCCTCATTGTCCTTACAACCTTCCTCCTAGCAGGGATGATAATAAGTCAGACAACATCTCACAGGATATCTTGGCATGTGGCACTGATCTCTTGGCTTTCATTGTTAGGTGCTTGAGTTTATTACCTCTTTAAAATACTGAGATTCACTTCTAATTCCTTCAAAAGTCAACATTAGAACAACACAGATCAATGAAACTATGCTCCAGAAGGGAATAAGGGGTGCCCTGCATCTATGTCAATGGGAAAGAAGAGAAAAAATAGAATCATTTATTCCTTATCCCCACCAGCACCATGCCCAGCAGCCATCCAAGTGCTAGGGCTGGACAAGGCAGCCTTAGCTACTCACGGGCTCAACCATCTCGGCCTGCACCTGCTTCCCTGGTCAGTACTGCAGGCAACCCGCTGCGCCTCACCTGGCTGTCTCCTTCCACTCCATCTCCTGCCCATCCACCGCCAGCAACTCATCCAGTTCCGTGAAGAGCTGTGGGGGGGCCGGGCTGTCATCCTCCTCTCCCAAGATGAATCGGATGCGTTCCGCGGCAGGAGAGACTGCAGAAGTGAAAATACTGTGGTTAAACATTGGCTGGAAAACCCTGAGGAAAGTGTAGCTCCGGGCTCTTCCTCTCTCCCCAAGGTTATTGGGTTTTCCTTCCACGTTTTCAGTGGACATCTTCCTTCCTGAGCCTCCTCTGTCCCCAATCTAAAGCCAAAAAGAAATCAAGCCCTTCTCTATTCCTCTGGTTCGAAACTGTAGCTCAGTTCTCCACCACCCTCCAGAAGGACAGCACTCCAAGTCTGTGTGCTGTGTGACAAAAGGACCTTTAGCCCTCAGATGAGCTGAGGTCCAACCGCACAACTTCCCCTCCCTCCCCACTACGACCCATCCAAAATTATTAGACAGAAACCAGCTTGAACCAATCGCATTTTCATGCAGCAGTGGGAGGGGCAACAGAGCACCCCAATCCTGAGTTTGCCCCAGGCCCCCGCCTGCCACCCACCCTCCCCCTGTCCCATGCCTGAAGCCCGTGTTCTCTCAGGCTCCTCTCCACCCCTAACTAGCTAACTGGAATATTTAACAAGAGGGAGCCTCTTCTTTACATAATGGTAGTACCCAAAAATGTTTAGTCACACTTCAATGCACTTGAAAAACAAGCCCAAGTGAAATATTGTACATCTGAGGGGGGGAAACATTTCCAACACACTCAAGCACATAATTGAATGCCCTACTAGCTCCTTTTGACCCCATCTTCTGAAAGCCATGTAATGAAAAATTAACCAGAATTTCCCTCAGGTGATGGATTATGTTCCCTTTCTTAAAAAAAAAAAAAGAAAGAAAGATGACAGAGAGAAGTATTTAAAAGTTGAGAGTCATCTTACAAAACTAAGGTTCATGGATAGTCTTTACAATACCTGGGTATAACCAAGAGTGGCATATGTATGTGAATGCAATTCAAATGCACACACACACACACACACACACTTCATAGAAATATATGTACACAAAGCTGAATGAGACAAGAAAGCCCCTACCATCTGAGAACTACTGTAATACAGGACAGAATAAAGTTCCTTAGATCAAAATATACTTACTACAAAGAAACCCATGAAAATATCCAACCTAATTATAATGATAATCAAAACTAACTGTTCAAATAAAATACCTGTTTTACCTATTAAAACAAAAAATAACGATAATGCCCAACACGGGCAAGGGTTTAGAAATCACACACCTATAGGAGCCAAATAGGAACATCTTTCTAAAGGGAAATTTGAAAGGATATGAAAAGGTTTTAAAAGTGTATATATCCTGTGAGCCAGTAATTCTCCCACTAGAAATATATTCATTCCAAATAAATAATATTAATTGTTATGTAAAAGATATAGCTACTAGGTGATCATTCTAGCATTATTTATAATTGAGAAAAATAGAAAAATCTCAAATGTCCAAAAGGTGGATTGGTTAAATAAAGTATCATACACTCTACACAATAAAATACTAAGTAATCATAAAACATGAAGTCAAGATTGCTGTTTTTTTGACATGTATACCATATAAAATTAAATGAAAAAATAAAATTCATAGGCATAAAGTGATCCCATTTTAGTAAAGAAAAATACATATGTATATCCATAAAATAAAGCCTCTAATTGAGACAGGCCCCACTTTGATCAGTTCTGATGTGTGCATTTGAATCACCACAGTTAAACAACACTGAAAACACAGCTCAAATTTCAATTAACATGGTATATTAATCGTAATTGCATAAAGTACAAGCTTCACCGTTAGCTCTTCAGTCCACAGATCACCACGTAACTAGCAGATGTGCATCATGATCTTTGACCAATCCCAGCACTTCTTTCAAAGTCTGTCAGTGACTGGTCACCACCGCATGTTTGTTACTGGGTTTGCCCACAGGCAGCAGAGCGTGTAGAAATATTGCCTTCTTGTCTTCTGATTATAAATCCATATGACATGGGCAATCAAAAGAGGGAATTGGCCAACAAAGATGAAAGTACAGCACAGAAACAAAAACTGACAATATTGGAAGTCAAATTGGTATCAAATGTGAATAGAGCTATGGAAGACACAGCTGATCGTGGAATGTTGACTGTGCTTCCACCCACCATTTGAGATTCTCTGGAGGTACAGTCAGAGAAGCTTGGTGAAGGTGAGCTCAACCTTTTAAGGAAAGTGGCTGTGATGAAAAGGATGTTGGTGTCCCAGAGAAAGTGACGCTGGCAAAACACTTCACATTAAAGGAACTGCAGGGCACATTTTTTCACATGGAAAGCACAAACGATAAAATGCTGTAAGCTCATTTAAACTTAGCATGACAATTTATCTAGGCATAGAAAAAAAATATGTGTTTCATATCATAAGTTATACAGCCCGAAGAAGGCAAGCACTATTCAAACTACTCCTGATAAGATCTTACAACAAAATAAACCACTTTAATCTCAATGCTTCCAATGTTTTAAATTACTGTGTACTAAGTAAATAATAGTTTTTCCTTTCCCTATCAGCCAAGAGAGATTTTAGTGACATGAAAATTTTTTAAAGATCAAGGAACAATAACTTCTCCCATTGATTATTAGAATCACTTTGCATAATTTCAGCTTACATGATCATTTTTATGGCCCTGCACCCCTGGGCAAAACAAGGACTGCCTGTATATACAGGCATATTTAAATATACATGTATATTTTAAATGTTATACAGTTTATTTCTAGGGGTTTTATTTTCTTCCATTCACTTCTCTATAAATTCTAAAGTGTGTATAATTCATTCATGAATTCATTCAAATATTTATTGAGTACTGTCTATGCTCTAACTAGACTTAGCTTCAAGCTTTGAAGATAAAGCAAAGATGCTGACAAAAAAGATCTCTGATCTTCCAGAGTTTACATACAAGTAGGGAAAATAAATATTAATTAAGTCATTAATTTGTAAAGTTTATAAATTAATTAGTACATAAAGCAATATAAGAAAAAATATCCATTAACTATAAGTGTTGGCAGAACATAAATAAAGTAATTGAATAAATATTCACATAGAGTATAATGAAGATGTTTTATTTCTAAATTAGAAAAAAATGTCTTTGGAATTTCTTATTATCTCTGGGAGAAAAAAAATCTAAAGTTCCAGGACTTCAGTGTTAAAACATGTGCGATGCCTTTTCAATCAAGACGTGGGAAGTAATTATTTTAGATGATCAGGAGGGCATAAAAATGAAGAAGTGATAGGCATAATTTGGAACCTGGACAATACTTTTAAGACACAGAATGTTCACAGTACTAAAAATTTAGTCATTTTATTCACCCTAGTGGTTCTGAAATTGACAATCACAAATTCGGTTCACTTTTCATCAACACTCAATATCAAAGATCCCAAGGTAGAACAAGCTTTAAGAAGAAAGACTTCTAGGGTTAGGCAATCAACTTTTTGTCCATTTCTCAAGATGTGATGTAGGTTTCTCGCCACCCCTAACAGAAAAACATAAATGGTCCTCCTGCTTCTAGCACAGAATCTCCTGCATAACCAGCACATACCCTGCTCGGCAACAATCCATGGAGCACTGCTCTGTGGCCTGGCACTCCCAAACACAAATCACTACTTCCTAGACAGCAACTGAGAGCAGTGACTGCTGCAAAACAGAATGGACAAAAGATACAAAATCACCTCTAGGTTTTGTTGTCTAGGTGTCATGCCTAACACCTTTCATAGGGTGTCTTATTTATTACAAGTATATCAAGCTGTTTGGGATTAAAATCCCAAAGTTGTGTCATAAACTAGCTTGGTACTCTAGTAAATTTCTTTCCTCAGTTGCTCCCCTAGCCCCTCCCAGGAATTAGAAGTTAAGAGACTGTAGCAACTGTATTGTAAATATCAACCTGTGGGCGGAGCATCCTCTACCACCAGCAAATACCCTTCCCAACTGCTAATGTTATGAGTGAAAGTCCCCATAGTGAAGTCTCTCAGGAATTCATTTCTACCCCCAAACCTCGATCACACCAGGAAATGAACTAACTACAAGAGACAGCATTGCACTGAGGTGCACAGTACAGACTCTGGAGCAGACTGCCTGGGTTTGAATCTCAGCTCTGCTACTTAGTAGCTGTGTGGCCTGAGACTTACTAATTAACCTGTGTCTTAAGTTCTCCACTTACAAGATGGGATAATGATGATTATTACGGTAGCTACAATACGGGGTTTAAATTAGTTTTAGAAATGGTCAGTGTTTACCAGGAAAACCTGCTTGGCTTCTGAGAAATTCTCACAGGTGTTGTCCTTGAGAGCCCGGTATGTTGAAAGTATACAAGGTAGGAAAGAAAAAAGCCAAGAGCTCTGTGTGTTTTACTTCAGCAAACTGAGAACGCGGTACATTCTTAGAAACAGACAATAAAGAACAAGGGGCAAATAATAAAACCCCTTCAGGCTCACTTTAATATTAATACCTTGGAGGAAAAACATCAGAAAATCAACTCACATTACCTATGAATAGATTATGATTCTAAATAATAACTTACCTAATTTCATCCTAAAAGAGAACTTGAAGAAAAATGAGAGGGAGGGAGGAAGGAAAGGAGAAAAACTATCAAATTAATCCAATCACCTTTGTCAGAACAGAAAGCCAGTAGATCAAAGTGAAGTTAATGCCTCTAATCTGCTTTGATTTTTTTTTTTTTTTAATTTTGTCCTCTAGTTAGAATGTGTTTTGGCTTTTTGAGTAGCTGTCAAATTTTCCTGGAGGGCCCTGCCTGATTGGGGTTATCTCTGACCAGTGTCCACGTGCAGGGTGACAAAGTGGTGGCCCACTGCCGACAAGGCAGGCAGAGTCCACGGCAGGAATGCCGTCCCTGCCCACTCCCCCCGCCAGCACCCCCATCAGACGTCCTGCACAGCTGCACGTTCGTGCCTGCTGAGCCTGAACTTGGCCTCAGACATAGTTCACGTGGGCAGCCACCACCCGCCAGTCAGACACGGCACGGGAGATGAAACGTCTCTGCCACCCCTGGTGATGAGACAGGCCATTCTCAGTTTGCTTTCG